GTGCATACAAATGCATTCGGATTGACACATAAGAGGTAACGCACTTGCCATTTGCTAGAGAATTTTATGATGGCAAAAAATTCTAGAAGTGCAGAGGATGTCATTTCTTTCTCTCGGAGAAAAATTCAGCAATGTCAGAGAGATAACCCATTTGCTGTTTGTCAGAATTTCCCAGAATTATTGGTTAAATTACTGAGTCTGCTGTGCAATCTAAGTAATATTTATTAAATGGCTGAAAGTAGAAGATCTAATTTTTCAGTTCTTTATTTCTCTATCCTAATATCAACTAAGTAATATATATTAGATGGCTGAAAGTGGATGATCTAATTTTTCAGTTCTGTTTTTTTTCTCAACACTAATATCAAAGCTTGCTCAAGGCATTCATTTGGTCATTGCTGTAGAAAATGGGAAATGGGGGAAATTTAAGGTCTTAAAATGCTTAGTTTTAATGTAAAATGTGCATTGCAATGAACCTTCATCACTTTTAACATCAACATGTATACTTAAGAAGATTTTCTTTGTTCAGCTCTCGCTGCTGAAGTTACTGTTGTTCCACCTTCGCGATTAATGGCTCTAATTGGTCAGGCTCTAAAGTGGCAGCAACACCAAGGTTATCATTTACAATTATATTGTACAGTCAATATGAATATTTGGTCCAGGACTTTTATTGAGTTTGTTGGAAAAGCTTCATCTCTCTCTAATGTTCTATAATATGCTTCATTTTCTATGTTTTAATTTGTTGGGTGACAATATAGAGGTCCAGGACTTTTATTGAGTTAATTGGAAAAGCTTCATCTCTCTCTAATGTTCCATAATATGCTTCATTTTCTATGTTTTAATGTGTTGGATGACAATGTAGACGAGTTCATGTTTTTAGAAAATATTGGTTTTTACATTTTATTACATCCACCAGCAGTTATATCGAGTAATAATATAATACGCATATGTGGCAACTATATCAGTAATGATATGCATCTGCACATATAGGTGTAAGTACTCATTTTAGTGATTTCTTCTTATTGATTAAGCTTCTCTGTTTTTCCTTATCTAGCTTTGAAAATTCCAGTGTGTGTCTTTCAGGTTTGCTTCCTCCAGGAACACAGTTTGATCTATTTCGAGGAACAGCTGCTATGAAACAAGATGTAGATGACACATACCCGACAACTCTTGGACACACCATTAAGGTGAATTGCGACATCCCTTGGATTATTTTCCTTCGGTGGAGCAGCTTTCCACCTAAAAGGAAACTTGTCCTTACGGCATATTGCTTTTTAACTCATTTTGCTTTTTATCCAGGTTTTGCTTTGTACCTTTTTCTGATAGTTGTGTTATTATTTTGACTCCAAAATTGAGCATCTTCTGTCTGATGTTGTTATGCTACAGTTTGGTACAAAGAGCCATGCTGAATGTGCTAGGTTCTCGCCAGATGGGCAGTTTCTTGTCTCCTGTTCTGTTGATGGATTTATTGAGGTATTTATAAAGTCATCTCGCAATTTTAAAAAGTTTCTTTAAAATAAATTGAGGAAACTTAGGGTGTGTTTACATAATACTTGCAGTGTTTTCCAGGTAATTTAAAAGCTAAAAATAATTTTAAATTAGTAGATTTTTTAAAACTCAAATTTCATAAACAAGGTTTTCCAATATGCCAAAATGGAAAATTTACAATTTTTTTCCCAATGTTATCCCCAAAATTAAGAGACAATAATTTGTCTTGATTTTGATTTAGTTAAGATAAAATTACCATTTCATACCCAAAAATTTAGAGAAAAAGAAAGCAATACACACATGGCCTCCGGGGGCTAGCTCACCTCAGACATGGGCACCACGCGCACCTCCCAAAATATTGCAAGACTTGGGGTCTGGACCTGGGGGACATACCTGTTCCACGCCAAAATACTGTCCGCGGGGGACTTCATGTTGTGTCGGGTGTCCCACATTGGGAAATCACGGTTCACC